AGAGAGAGAGAGAGAGAGAGAGAGAGAGAGAGAGAGAGAGAGAGAGAGAAAATAATGAGCTCCGTGCCAAGGTCTCCTCCCTCTGTGTGTGTGTGTGTGTGTGTGTGTGTGTGTGTGTGAGAGAGAGAGAGAGAGAGAGAGAGAGAATAATGAGCTTGGTGCTTCCCTCTTGCTTCAACATTGTTGTCTATAGACAGACTGTGCGAATGAAGACTTTATCCGGCATTAGAGGAGTATTCTGTCAAAGAGGAAATTCAATATGAGAATGGGCTCCACCGGAGTCAGTGACAACCCAACCGGCTTTAAGTGAATCAGCTTTGCATGCTGAAAATGGGTGGGCTTCTACGATTATAGCGTAGATAAGCTTACCATGTTGACCCACGCTCTGTTTCTCTCTTACCTCTTGTAGCTTGTTATCTAGAGGAAGGAACTTAGCGTGCCCCAACTGATGTGGGTGACCCTCTTGGGCCTTCCATGGGGCCTGAGTGGACAGGCAGAAGGGGAATCCTGTGGTAGCCCTAAGGTTGCTGTACTTAAACCACCAGTAACTTTTTCCAACCGACCTTGGCACGGAGCTCATTATTCTCTCTCTCTCTCTCTCTCTCTCTCTCTCTCTCTCTCTCTCTCTCTCTCTCACACACACACACACACACACACACACACACACACACACAGGGTGGCGGTTTATTGTTTTTGGCACATTGTGTCCTCAAATGGCATGAGAGTAAAGCCACACATAACGTGAATGTGTGCCCTTTGGTGATTCTTTTTCCTTTTGGAGTTGGAAGACTGGTCCAGGAATGTTCTGAGGCGGAACATATCCTCTATTCTCAAGATATCAGAGGGTAGATGAAGGGTCCTGAAGCCATGGGAGCGGGTAGTGCTTAGGTACCGCCAGTACCTTTCTCATGCATGGGCCGGGCCCTGCGCGCCAAGCGCGGCCGATGTATCTGGCCGGCGCTGGAGGCCAAATTTGGCCACCTTGTTAATGGCCGCACCTTTGTTTTCCAAGCGCGGAAAGGTGCTGGCGGCTTAAAACCACCAGTACCTTTCCCGGCGCAGGGCCGGGCCCTGCGCGCCGAGTTTTGACGGCGGATCTGGCTGCCGCCGGCTGAGTGCGACCTCCGTGTTAGCCGCCGTGTCTCGGCAAAATGCCTGGGAAAGGTACTGGTGGTTTAAACCGCCAGTACCTGTCCGGGCTGTCCCATATGTGACCCTGAGGCAAAAAGTGTTCAGTTCATTGTGCATCACATAGTTTTTTTTCGGAGGGTTTTTTTTTTTTTTTTTTTTTTTCCTGGGCCTTTCGGGGCCTTCCCTGGTCC